AGAAATCACTATCAGAAATAAATGTACAAATTAGGAGACCAAAGCAAGACTTCCAGGGGACCTCAGTGTGGCACAGCCACCAAAGGATGTCTGCAGAAGGGACAGACCTTTCTGATGGACAGAGGAGGGACTGCATGAAGGAGCAGCCCATTCTGGGGATCCCAGTCAGGATATATTCCCATACCCCTTTCAGTGCCATCAGGTGCTTGCTGCCCTGCTTCCAGCCTCATTAAAATAGCCTTGCCATCATTATCACCTTTCTAATTGCCAAGCTATTTTCTGTTATTGAAGCAGTGTTGCTGCAGTTGAGGTTGTGCCCCTAATTGCTGTGTTGACCACCAGTAAGTTCAGCATTCCCAATCAAAGCCAGTGTGATAAACCAAACTTCAGGCCTCACAGCACTGCCAAAATCCAGTGCCTGTTTGTGCATAAAATCCACTCTTTCCAGAGCTATTCAAATGCCAGAGATAAGAGATTATTATGACTTCATGTCATGTTGAAAGACAGGTGGAGGAGAGCACAATGTTTGTGTTGGATTCAAATGTCTGCTGAGATCATTCCTGTCATGCTAATTGATGCTGCATCTGTCTTTAGATTGCGATTACTGGGGAGAGGAAAAAAAAAAAAAAAGCAGAAGATCTTATTCAGAGAAGTAATTACAGTTGTACACTGGTAGATAGAAAGTACATGGGGGGATGGGACCGACATTCTGTAATTTATCACGTTCCTCCATCCCTGAAAAACTCTGTGATGCTGGGCAGTGCAGCAGTCCTGCTGCAGGAACTGCTGCCATGGGAATTGCTGTGGTCAAACGTGGGGCACAGGTTCTCATTTATTCCTTCCAATTTTGTTCTTCTATTGTGTTTGGAGCATTAGTTTCCAACTATCCAGAGACGAGGCAGACAAACAATAGCAGGCTTTATTAAGAGCCAGGGAGGTAATCCCCAAGCTTGAGAGCAATTGCACGCGTAAGCTGGAGGGGGAAGAAAGGGAATTCTGCTCTGTCTGCCTTTCCAAAAATTCACCTTCTGAAGTCCTTCAGTGTGATATAGTTACAGGCAGTACTAAATCTGCATTACTTTGACAAACTTTCATTGAAGCCATTGAGGATTATTAATGGAAGCAGTATACTAAGTCTCTCTACAGCAGATGCTGTATATCCCAGTGGTTTGGCTGTGGGCTTTTTTTTCCCCCTTTTTCTTGTTCTCACTTTTCTTCGTGGTGGTTGTGTGGATGCTAGCTTTGATGCTTTCACAGGTATGTTTTAATACAGAGAGCCAGTCAGGATGCCATCTTCCTCTTTGCATTTCAGGTGGAATATTAGGAAAATATTATTTTCAGAGTGGTAAGGCATTGGAACAGGGAAAGTGGTGGAGTCACTGTCCTTTGGAGTTGTCCAAGAGCCATGGAGATGTGACACTGAGGGACATGGTGGGTGGGCATGGTGGGGATGGGCTGGGGTTGGACTTGGGGATCTCTTCTCCAACGTCATTGATTCTGTGATCACCGCACAAGCCACCTGTGGTGCCCATCCCTGCACCAAAGATATTCCCAATCCGAGGCAGCAGTGGTTTGGCCACTGCTGGCCAATTTATTTGGTAACAAATTATCCTGAAATAGCTTTAGGCACAGACAGTGTGGAACTGCTCTCCTGTGTGGTTATTCCGTAACAGAGTGCAGTTGTGATTGCTGTGGTGGGTGAAGGTTGTGTTTTTCACAGCATACACAAGAGCAATTCAGGCACTTAGTACAATTTTCTTGCCCATTGTGTGCAAAGTTAGAAGGTGTGGGCAGGTGGGAGTAAATTCTGTGAATAGAGCAGTTGAAAGGATAGACCTGGAAATCCTGCTTGAGAGTGTCTGCAGTACCCCAAGTCCACCCTGGGGTGGGGGGATCGTGGCTGCTGTTTCCAGGCTGGATTCAAAGCCTCAGCAGATCCAGCTCTTGCCTTGGCTCTGGCTTACTGCATGGTGCCCATTGCCGCCATGTAGGGTGAATAACTATGATTTTTATGTAAGTTAAGTGATTTTCACTTACATTTCACTCCCAGAACATTGTTTAAGAAGGTCTTGGAAGCATAATTTCATGCTAGTGTCTGCAATTGTGAACCACAGCCTCAGGCGGTGAGAGAATTTCTTGGTATCTAGGCAATAGAGTTTATGTATAGAACTGCTTCTTGCAGCTTTGGGGGCTTATTCTTCTGCTAGTTGTCTTTCTAATCTCTACATCATGCTTTTGAAACAAGGAATTTGTTCGTAAGTTAGGAATCTGCATATGTGACGTGAGATAAAGACGAGATGTGTCAACTTCAGCATTTTTTATATTTCTGGACAAGTTCCCAAGCAAAGGTGAAAGTTTTATGTTCAGAAAGCTTGCTGCTTCGCTGCCTCCGATTGTTCAGTAGTTAGGGAGGAACAGACTCCTCCTTCATCTGCTGCCAAGTCTGGGAATTGTAAAATTAAGGGGCTTTTTTTTAGCACAGCTCCGTAAGACACGCATGTCCAGATGCAATTTTAACTTCTCATTTACATTTGCAATTCAATGCGTGTAGGAGCCTCCAAAAATGAAGTCTTCCATGAGAATTAACTTGGAGTAATATAAAGTAATAAAATTGATTGCGGCTCCTTCTCGGTTGTCTTCCGAAAATTATTAAACAAATACAATCTGTAATGGGTATCAGCATCTTCTAGAAGGTTTCCTTTCCCCTCCCTTTACATTTTGTTACAACAATCAGCTCCACAATGACTCATTGCCTTCGTTAGGAGCGGGAAGACATCCCTCATTATTCATTACTAAAGGAAGGACTTTGCTGCTGCAAGGGACAGTCACAGCATCCTAATTCAGCTACCTTACCAGAGAAAGGAGTCAATGTCATTCTTCCCCAAACTTTGCTGAAAGAGACAGGAAATAATGCTGCTTAATTGTCTCCATTTATAAATAGCTCATTCACAATAAGAGAGCTGCATTTTTAATACTGCAGTCAGGAGGAAAAGAGGCACATTTTCCCACTTTGCGTCTGAATTTCGTTTCTGGGAGCTTGCGATCAGCCTTTAGAAGCTATGAATGATCATACAAAGATGCACAAGTATGAAATGCATTTATTTACTTACAATTTACCATATTAATTTTTAATTACAGAGCACTGCAGATGTATTACGTATTACACAGCATTTACTGTTCACATAATGCAGGGATTTCCTAGGGAGTAGGGAGGGCTGTGCTAAAGCTGCTGGTTTTCTTGGTTTTACTAATACAGATGTTCTTCCTCTCTTTTTGCTCTCCTTTTTTTCAGTTATCTTTTCTTAAATATTAAGTGATTGAGCTTGTATTATGTTCTTACTGTCTTTTAATGTGGTTTTTATTAAGCTTTATAACACAGACCATGCTTCTTTATAAATAAAACTATGACCACATATTACTAGAAACCCCATTTCCAACTGTATTTTTGCTAGACTCGGTTAGATTTTCTAGGAAGGGACATTATAATTGTGTGATTAATCTTCAGAAAGGGGAAATTTTGGCTCTGCAGTATTTCTTACTGTATTAACTTCAGAGATTTATAAAACCAACTTGAAACTGCACTGTAAGTGTGTTTATAATGACTTTTAGCTGATTTAATAATCCTCAAAGTTTGGTGACCATACAGATCGCAGCTTCACAAACGCAGTCCATTACCTGTAGCATCCAGATGAAGTTATCAGAGGTGTAGGAAATGACTTGGGATTGTGTTTCTCCTTAGCCATGCACTAATCCAGCCTCTGGCTGGGGCTCTCAGGGTCCTTGCCTGCATTTATCCCATTATGCAGCGGGGACATGTGCATGGATGATAAAGAACATCTTCGTGTTGCAAGTCGAGCCAGGGCATGTGTATGCCATCAAATCTTGGTGGAGCAGTCGTAAAGCACCCGGTGTGCTAATGTTGTTAGGAACATTTTCAAGCCAGTCTGTGATTCATTTTTTCTGTCGTTATCAGTAACTCAGTGTGCTGCTGCTAACGCCACTCCCTGCAGCTGCACTGCTTAATGTCTCTTTTAGCTCACGATCCTCCAAATTTTTTTCTATCCAAGGAGCCCTTGATGATGCAGATAGCGCTGCTAATTGCAGGTTTGGTGATGCCTTATCCCGGAGGAGTAAGAGTCTCTTGAGCAAGTGGCAGTGCGCTGGATCAAATCCTGAGCTTACATCCATGTGACAAGCCACGGCGTAGGGCTGTTTTTAAAAGTCACCAGTTTAAACAAAAACCAGCTGAAACGACGCCAAGAGCCTTATGTTAAGCTTTCTGGCTGTTTGCTTCCTTCAGTGTTTCCAAGCTTTGCTTTTCATAATGATAAATATCAAACAACAACCCTGGGAGTCACTGGGAGCTAGATTGGCAGGTCTCAGCCTCCATTTAACATGCAGATGATCAGTCTATGGCACATATGGCCGCTTGCTAGATCAGAGCTCGGTTCATTAACACAGAACTCAGAGAGCTCTGGGTAGATGTGGAGTAAGTGCATAATAACCCTGAGCACTGTGCCGTGAGCCAGGAAGTGAGCAATGTGCAGCACAGAACTGAATTTGCACATGTTCAAGAAACCAAATACTAGACTTTTTTTTTTTTCTTTTTTCTTTTTTTTTCAGAACCTCGAATTTTTCTTCCCAGTCTTCCAGTTCACAACAGTTAAGTAATCAGATTTCAATCAACTGCATATTTCCAGGCCAATTATTTGAGATTCTTTGTGACTTTAAAGCAGTTCCTGACCTTCATCTCTCAGACGACATGCAGAGCTTCCTTAAACGATGCTAAGGATTGCACAGGAGCTCACTGACACCTACAGAACTCACCTCTTTGGCATTTTCTTACTTCTCACTTTATGAAGCAGATAAAAGAATAGCGATTTCTTTTTCCAGACTCGCTTGTTTGCTCTGTGATGTACTGCAAGGTGTCAATCCACCCAAACGTTTCCTTGAGCAGTGCAAGCTGTGTGAAACCTAATGAGTGCCGTTGTGTTCTTCAGGCATCCACTGTGACAATATGTGCACCCAGGGCCGCTGGGGACCGAACTGCTCCATCTCCTGTAGCTGTGAGAATGGTGGATCCTGCTCTCCAGAGGACGGCACCTGTGACTGTGCACCTGGCTACAGAGGACCCCTGTGCCAAAGAAGTAAGATTTCCCCTGGATGTGCTGACAGAAGCAAAGCAGATAGAATGTTATCTATGGTACCAGACAAAGCCATGGGTTTCTGAGTGGCGTGAGCTGATGGCTTAGCCCAAAAATGCTTTTTGGCCAAGAAGACAAGGCTCTGCTGGGTAGAGTGTTGCCTTCTGTTTCTTCTGGCCTTCCACAGTACCAAGAGGACACATGTGGCCTAAGAGTATCACAGAACTGTAGAACTGTAGAATCATTGAGGTTGGAAAAGACCAGTAAGATCAGCCAGTCCAGCCCATCACCACCATCACCATACCCACTAAGCCATGTCCTTCAAAAAGGAGCGACAACTTTGCATGACAAACTTGGCAAGACGTGGGTAGAATCAAGCTTCTATAGATATGCACTAGAAGCTGTAGGATACCTGCTAAGCCGAGTCAGCTACAGCCCATCACATAATGACAAGTAGATGAGTGTTGGCTATCAAAATAACAAGGCGACGTTTTCTTGCATGCCAGAAAAAGAAACACGGCAGCCAGAAATATCTCTCGTCTGATGCTCTGCTGCTACATATTAAAATGTGTCAAGGAGATAAAAATCCTCTCATTTACTTTACCTGGAAAGCTGTATTTGCCCCTGAGGGACCCGTGTTCACTGATCCAAACTGATGCAACCTTCTTCCTATGTAAACAAGAAATGGGTCTCTCTCCCTTTTTCCATCAGCCCTTGTTCTTCCCGTAAGATATGCTCCATGCCCACTTCGTATATCCCTCCTGATTTCACTGGTTACACTTGACACTAGCGCACACTCATCTCTAAAAATAATTTGTAGCTGACAGTTTTTATTTAAAGCCATTATAACAATGACCTCTAGCACTGCTGTAGTTAATAGCCTATAAGCATTTCCATTATAAACCCCAATTTCCAGGTGCTTCAGCACGTCTATATAACTGTAAAACCTCTCTCTAAGGCTGAAATGTGGTGCTCAGAGCTTCTGGGAATTGGGGAAGAAATTGTTTTACAAATTTGAAACCCTAAGAGTGCAAAACGTCCAGAAGTTAATAGTTTCTGGCCTTTCTGAGATGAAAAAAAAGCCTGCTTAGTTTTATCAGCTCATGGCACACAGGCTACAAGAGGCAAACCATGTCCCCAGCTTGAAACTCCCATAATCAGGCTGCTCTCTGAAGACATTTGCTGAAAAACTAATGGGCAGAAATTCTCCATCCCTTGGGGATGACAGCAGAGGGCTTCTCTGGATGCTTGTGCTCTCTGTTTTGCTGAACTGCCCTTCTGTAGATGCACAGCCAGGGAGTTCAGCTTGCTTTTCTGCAGGATTCAAGTTCAAGACTACCTGCATCTCAGCTAAGTTTGCTTTCAGAATCATTCCCATTTCCCTCTTGGAAAGTGATTTAGAAGCAGAATTTAGTACATGGCAGCACTGTAGACAATACCCGTCCGGGTAGTTCTGTCTGTGCAATCAGCATTGCAGGAGACACCGGGATGCTTTATCGGTCTTAGGCCTGCAGAAATGTCTCCAGGAATGATCCAGGTTGTTTTATAGCAAGTGCGTCATCAACAAACCTGTCAGCTGAGTTCCAGCTGGAAATGTGCAGCGGTGTAAGAACCTGACACCTGCTGTGAGCATACGGACCGAGAGGGAAATTCTCATTTGGTGAAAAAATAGAGCAGACATGATACAGTAACCACTGAAACAGAGCTCCGTGATGGAGAATCGTGGGAGTGAAAAACACATGAAGTCACTTGTACTGCTAATGAAACTCCATGGAGGATTTTATTCTTATCTGTAGCAGTGAACGTTTGGACAGTGGAGGGCTTTTTCAGTCTGCATGTGCTTACATGGAACAGTGCGTGTTTGTAAGAGACGTTGGGCCCCAGTCTTGCTGGGGGCCCTGTCTTATGAACAGCTTCTACAGTAATTTCAATCCAAGTTCTAAGCACATAGTTCATGACAAGTTTGCTCAGCTAACCAGTGTGATTACTGATGCAAATTAGGTGCTCTTGTATGCTGTTCCCATAATTACCATTTTAGATTCTGTTCATCACTGACAGATGCTCCTGCAATGGCATGTATAAACTGACTGTCCTACACAAGCACAGGTCTTGCACCTAATCTGTTTAGAAATGAGCAATCAGCTTTTCACGTAGTTACTTAGAAGAAAGAATATTGAGATTTTCCCAATACTCCTTTGATTTCTTAGCTTAATTTCCTAAGGAAATGGTAAGGTGGATTCCTATGCTTTGTGTATGTGCCTATGTTAAAAGCTTTGGAAGATGTTTCTGGGTATTAACCATGTCTATCAATGGGATACGGGGCATCAGATGTCTTACATTGCCATGTGTTGTGAACATCCTTAGCTGGAGGTGGCCAGGGAGACTCAACATGAGATAATCCAACAGGCTTCCTATTTTATGCTGTTCATGGAACTTTGTGTTTTTAGAAATGAAGAAATGTTATTCACTTGAGATCAAGACAGAGAGAATTCTAAAGCTCTCAGCAGTGAGAAACCTTCTGAAAACCTGAGACAGCCTGTTTTGTTTTATCTTCAGTTTGCCCCCCTGGCTTCTATGGACACCACTGCAGCCAGCCATGCCCTCAGTGCGTGCACAGCAGTGGTCCCTGTCACCACGTGTCCGGGCACTGCGACTGCTTGCCAGGATTCTTCGGCGCTCTCTGCAACCAAGGTATGGAGCCTGGGACCCCCACACCCCCACCTTTCCTAAGTCTCTGTGTCTGTGACTCTGTAGCAAGACTGATCACAATGCGACTGCCTTTTTTCTCTTGTTTCAGCAGTTCAGATCACAAGAAATTCTTTATTTCAGAGGCAAAATGCAAATAGGTACTTAGTCACCCTTTTGTAAATCTGATGTGATCCTGCTTTCATAAATAAAACAGGTCTGCCGTGTTGAGATGAATATGGAGTGAGACACCTGCTGTAAATACATCAGCCATCCAGTGGTTTCATTTTCCTTTCTGCTAAGCCCGTCACAGCCTAAATGTTGATGACACTTTCACATGCTCTTTCAGCAGGAGCTCTGTTTCTTGAGGTGGAGGCAAACTCAGGTACACCAACCCAAAGACTGAGTTAATGCCTCAGCAATATTAACAACACCTAGAGCGTGACTGTGGGAACAGCTGAAATCACAACACCCAAACACAGGAGCAAGGAGACAGAAACATCAAGGGGCAGTGGAAAAGAGCTCATGTTCACAGGTTAAGGGTAACCTGTGCTCTCCCTGTGCCCATCACTGCACTCTTTGCCTCTAGAAGGCAGTCCACTTCTACCCAAAAGCTCCGTGTTGAGTCTTATCCTAAAATCTTTCCAGTGTTCTGCAGAGCCTGAGTTGCTGCATACCTCTGGGGGTATTTTCTGCCTGCAGATTTAAAAGAGATAATTCCTAATGGCCGCTGCCCCTGTGAAGTCACCATCCCTGTAAAAATTGAACTGACACTTTCTAATGACCTGCTTTTGGGGAAGTTAGAAGTTGCAGACAGTACTTAGGCAAAGTCATTAAACAGATTAAATGTAACCATGTTTTCTTTTCCCTATGCCATATAGTCAACTAAACATTATACCAATTAATTTATTAAAATGAACATATTTCAGTGAATTTGTCCATTTTATATGAAAAGTTAACCAGATTTCAAAGCGTAAGCAGGGCTAATTATCCTCTTAAGAAAATTCTATTTTATTTTTGTTCAGATGTTCAGCACTTCTGGTTTTACTTTGAAATGTTGATCTACCCGGCAAATTAATTTTAAAATATTCATGTCCTAATTAAAATCAATTTGTGTTGCAGTTTGTCATAATGAATTAGCATGTAACTTTATTTTGTCGAAAGAAAAATGCTAATTAATGTTTGCCATTAGAAAAACGTGAAACAAAGATTTCACTTCTGAATTTCCATCCCCTTGTGCTGTCCCTTTTCTGACAGCAGGGATGCGACTCCAGAAGCAGCAGCACGTGCGTGCACAGAGCTTTGTAACCTCTGAAACTGCACAGGGTAACATGGTTGTACTACAGATTCAAAGCAGCACACAACTAAGCAGCTGTTTTATGAATATATTTCCCAATCATGTAGCAAGATGGATTGATAACAATGTTATCGCTGCTAGAACAATGTTATCGCTGCTAGAGCACAGCTGACATCCTACGGGGAATTGCAGTCCCACTTCAGAGCTTTTATTGCTAATTAACATCGCTGGCTGTGTCGTACAATCAGATTGGTCCTGAGGAAGGCAGTGTTAGTCCTTACTCTGCAGCTTAGTTTGAAATGTTTGAAGCATTTTGAGAAGTGCTTGTATTTGGGTCTCACAACTTGACAAGGGAGTCCCTGTGTCAGTCCAGGGCTGGGATACTTCACCTAATGAGAGCAGCCCCTGGGGCAGGATGGGCTTTGTAATCCCTCTGTGTTGCCACCCTGGAGGGCTGCATGCTATTTCATAGGACAAGGGGTGCTCACATGGTAGGAACCCCTCTGCTGGCTCTCGCTGTGCCAGACTGAAGCGTTTCTTTATCAAGTGTGACCTGTTGGCTTTGTCAGCATCAGTGTTTGGATCACAAATCTTTTCCTGATTCATTAGCATTCTGCACTGCAGTGTAAATCAGCTCCTATTTTAAGTAAGTCTTTTGAGAACTATTTTTTGTATGTATAAAAAATCCAGGCTTCCTATAAGTGATGTTATCTATCTCCATCTTAAAGATGCAATAAAAATATTGCATTGAACTGCTCTGTATAGAGCACTGGAAGTGAATAATTGTGTAGCACATATGAAAACCTGACAGATCTTTTTAGTTTCTGCTCTTTCTGTGATATGAGGCCTTTTCTTTCCTTCCTTCTCTTTGTGTCTGTGTATTGTTCATTGTGTCTTCATATTGTATTTAGTTTTATCTCTTTTCAGGTAGAGAACTGTTCTGTTTAGCACATCATTCGAAAGCCAATTTTATCCATTCCTACAGATAAGCCTGCAGCTGGACCACGCACTGTTGTTTTTGCACCACTCCTAGGGTTCTGCCATAGTAAGAGTGGAAGGTGGCCTATTGTAAAAAAGCAAATGAGTCACAGCTCAGGATTTCAATCTGCAGCTGATTTGCAATCAGGGTAGATTGAGGTCACCTGCAGAGACTGCATATGAGCAAGAGAGAGAGGCTGAAGTGGTAAACTGGTTGCATAATTCAGGGAGTGCCTTAATCACTTTTTTGACATCGCTGTTATTTGTAAGGATGGAAGTCCAGTTCCATTTGTTACACTCTTTGCAGAGATGGACGGCGTGTTTTATCTTGTTTTGAAAATACATCTGTTTTTGTCAGGGAACGCAGCCAATGAGAGCAGTGAAATTAAACGTTTCATTCATTGCTGAGCAGAGCTTTCCATCAACTTTAATGGTAAAGATTTCCAATAATTCGGTGGGAGGCTGAAGATATACCTGTCTGTTAGTTTTATGTCACTGTTCACAGGCTGCGACATGACGATTCTGGAAGAAAAGCAGAGTTTCTTTTCTTCCAACTTCAGCAATTAGCTGTGGGGACCGACAGCTTTGTTCTCCTCTTCCTCCCCCAATACCTGCTCCTTTTGAGCGTCCTTCCATAATGATAATCTTCTGGCTGTATTAGATTCATTTTCTGGCAGGCAAACGGATTTCAAGATGACTTTTTCACACTGCTTTTATGCCTGGGAAATAAGCAAACACAGTGGATGTGAATGCTTTCTTCTGCCTTTTCCTTATTTCCATAAAAAATTTGCCCTCTTGTCTGCAGCAAATAAAAATGTCATAATTACTTTTCTCTCTAATTGCTAAATGTTGAATCCTGTGACTTCCTAATACTCACTATGAAGCCTTCATTAAACTCTTCTGTATTTCCAGTGTGTCCCAGTGGAAAATATGGGAAGAACTGTGCTGAGCTCTGCCAGTGCACCGAGAACGGGACGTGCAACCCCATCGATGGATCGTGCCAGTGCTTTCCAGGCTGGATAGGGAAGGACTGCTCCCAGAGTGAGCAAAGTGTTAATTCTCCATCTCTGCTCTGAATAACATGTTTTCCTGTTTAGTGTTTTCGGAAAGTTAAAGGCAGTTTCTAGGGAAATCCCTGAAGTATTACAGCAGCCACTGCCTTACTCTCTTTATAGCTTATTTCTTTTAATTAATCTAAGTTAGCTTTGGCTTGAATTAGTTTATATGCATTTGGAATTTGCAGAAGCAGTCACTGGCTTCTATTACAGGAAAGAGAGGTCACAAGCTCTTATCAGAAAAGAAAGCTCCACGCTCCCTTTTAATTTCTATCAGGATTCCCTTTTATTTATTTTTTGAAATCACTTTCTTTCATTTATTAGATTAGAAATTATTAACCAGTAAATGTTTTCATGTATCAAGCCCACAGAACTGAGAAATTAGGCAACTGAAATGTTTCTATTAAATGTAATTTAATTGTAAAAGTCAAAGTGGGCTTGGTGGGATGGAGGGTTTTATTCTCAAAAATTGCCCAGGTGGAAGATTGGCATTTGTTGATCCCAAAGTGTCATTTCCTGAGAGCATCCCTTAATTGAAGATAGATCACAGAGGGAAGCAATATCATATCATTCAGAAATGTTACTTCATATTCAGGATACAACTAGCATATTAGACAGCATTCCAGAGTAAAATATATTAAACTTCAAGTGATAAAGTGGGATTTGGATAAAAACAGACGGCTGTAATTTTACTTTTATTGTGTGTCTTCCACGAGCAGAATATTGCTGTCACTCAAAAGAAAAAAAAAAAAAAAAAAAAAAAAAAAAGACAGAAAGCTGCACAGATTCCTCATTATGTTTAGCCATGTAATTGAGAAATGACTGTTAGTTTCTGTTAACCTTGAGAAAGGATGAGATTTCTCCCTTAGGGAGGCAGGCCAGTTGAGTAGCAACAACTGCCAGTTTGGAGTCAGGAGGACACAGGGATGGCTGCTTGGTGTTCTGGGCTGGCAGAGCAGGAGCCTGGTGCTTTTCTCAGTTACCTTCCTGCAAAGAAAGGGCAAACCTCCTGGCGCAGAGCTGGCCTCGCACCCGGCTCCTGGGGTCCTGGCCTGCAGCTCCGGAGCCTGGCGCTGAGCTGTCAGCGATCCTCCCTCGCAGCAGCTAACCTGGGATGACCGAGAGACGGAGCCACAAAGGAGATAATTTTAGCTCTGGCTCCAGAGCCAGTTCTGGAGACGCACGCAGACCCGCGGCTCTAACTTACAAAGCCTTTTCAAAAGTATTTCTGGTTGCTTGTAGCACGAACGCTTTAGGCCAAATCCTGCTCAGCTGTACATTATGTGAGTTCAGGGACCTTTTGTTTGATTTACGTCACGGCAGGTTTTTTGCTATTCATTCTGGCTTTGGCTGTGTGTGTCCTGTGCCAGAAACTTGCATTTATCGTCAGAATTGCAGCCAGTGGCAAGCGTGGAAATAGGCACCGTTTCTCTACTTTCAGGTTTCCTGGGAACCATGCCTTATTAATTCATGCCTTTAATAGGCAGCAATGGAAAGTGCTTTTTAAAGCAAAAATATAGTTGTTATATTGAAGGGTTATCATCATTTTGGATCTTTTAGTCTGGCACTAATGACTGTAACTTACTGCATTCGGTTTTGGAGGGAGGCTTACAATAACTTTTGAAAATGTATTAATATTGTACTTGTAGAAATATATAACAGACCTGGAGGTTTTAATTTAATATTGGCCCCATCAACAAAAGCAATCTGATTTTGTGGATGGGAATTCATACTGAAAGAAGTTTTCTTTACATTTTTACATAATTTGAGCAGTGCTCTGCACTTCAAATGAATGTGGTAATTTTAGCAGTTGATTGCATAGCACAAGTAAACCACGAATAGCTGTGCTTTATTATGCAAGAATTTCTGAATATCAAAAAGAAAATTAAATTACCTCCATATCTTATAAACCCTGTCTGAATTGTCTTCAGAAATAGTGCCAGTGAGGCAGGGAGCACTGCTGGAGCACTCAGCCCTATTGCAGGGTTACTCTGTGCTCACAGAGCAGACCTACATGGAGAAGAAATGCAGGTTTGGCAGCGTGGGTGAGGTTGTAGGCTTGCATTCTGGGTTTGCAGAACAGTTGTTGGCATGGGAGAACTGGTTGTGATAAGGGAATAGCTGCAGTGATGCCAAGTACCACGATAACGATGATCTGCTGATGATTTGCTGCTGTCCTGCAGGCTCTCCTTACCGTTGTTCCCCACAGCACTAAAGCCATATCACTGCTGATAAATGTTTCTTATTTTCATAGCTTGCCCCCCAGGTTTTTGGGGCATGGATTGCTTTCATTCATGCAACTGCCACAATGGAGCAATGTGCAGCCCTTATGATGGAGAATGCAGATGTACTCATGGCTGGACTGGGCTCTACTGCACACAGCGTAAGCCTTTCAGATGTGCTATTTTGTCTAGGAATCTGTCAAAGTGTGTGCTGCTACCTCGTGTTTCTTCCAAGTATTGCACTCTTGCTGCTATACCACCTGCTTCATGCTAGTGGATAACTTTTGTCACTCCAAGGAAAGTGTCCTGAAGCTTCTCAAGGCTTTTTATGCCCTTGGCATGCTAGAAAATGAGGGTCTGACCATTTAGGTTATTGATTCATTGTCAGAATCTGTACCATCCTTTTCCGTGTTTTGTAAAGCCCTGGAAAACATTTGTCAGCTTTAGGAAAATGTGTGAGATTTCTCATCTCACCAGCGCAAAATTATCAGCACAAAAGGGGAGATCATGTTCCAGTGAGCCTTCTGAGAGGGCTCTTCCACTTGCAAGTAACCAACTGATCTCTGGCCTCTTACAGAGTTTCTTTCCAGCTGTCTTCTTTCACTCCTTGAAAATGTAGTTTGTGTGGATGCGTGAATTTTTTATTCTTCTTAAGTGCTTAAAAGGCAGTTCTGTAAGACAGGAGAAACACTACTGCGAGAAAATCGGCTGCTGTGGTAGCTCTGCATTTAGATCATCAAATACATGTTGTTAGATATACACAGGCTGAAAATCCATAGATTTATAGGCTCATTTATTTCATGCTGTTAACACATTCGAGTTTGTGTTTCAGTTCATTTCTTCATCTTTCCTTACTCTTCTTCCTGAAAGGTTGCCCAGCTGCTTTCTATGGAAAAAACTGTGCCAACGTGTGTCAGTGTCAGAACGGAGCAGACTGTGACCACGTCACTGGGCAGTGCACGTGCAGGACTGGATTCACAGGCAAACAGTGTGAGCAAAGTAAGTAGCAGCATGACTTCATTTTGCCATTTCTTGTGGGGAAGAGTTCAGAATCCTTTGCAAAAATGAGCTGTGGACTGAGGTGCGCGTGTCTGTCAGCCTCAATCAGGCACCTTGCATCATATGTAGGGAAAGGAAGGCATCTCTGAAAAGCCAGCTGGTCTGTTTTAGGGCAGTAAAGTACAGTGAATCCACTGCAGATTGGGCCTTTCCTTTCACAGCATGAAGTAAGGTGGGATCAAAGCCTGTCTCACAGCCAGCACTGAGTGGAGGCAGCCTTCCCAAACCACTTTACTTGTACCTGATTGATAGGAACCCCAAACTGCATCATGCCTTACTAACACTATTGAGCGCGACAGCATTGGGTTTCCCCAGGCATGAAGGAAGACAGAAGAGTTCAAAAAGAGCCATTCCACTCTCTGACTTCCAAGGAAAGTTGAGGTTTCCGTGACAAAGTTGTTACACTGTAGATGCGGACCAAATAAAGATTCATCTGTACATTGAAAACAGATCAAGGAAACAAAAGCTGCTTGTCATTTTTGGAAGGATTGCAGTTAACTTGAGTAGTGAGCAAGTGTTTAACAATGAACTTCAATTACCTTGCAAGAGTGCTTGCATATCTTACAGTAATTGTTGTCAGCGTCTCGCTGGCATATTTAGCACACTGTGCCAAATGGTTTCTTTTAAGGATAAAGATTTAGGGCTGTGGAAACTGTATATGCTGCAGTTGAAAAATTACTTGTTTGTCCAGTATAGTAAATCAAAAGAAAATTTTCACACATTAACTTGGATTCTAAATACAGGATGAAATCTTTCTCACCTTACCAGGGCATTAATTCCACAGATACATTTTTTCTTCTTTTTTTGGCAGTAGGTAATGCAATTAAACATTCCTGCTAACTTTGCAAGTCAAAGGCCTACCTCAGAGCTTCCCTGCAGCTTACTGCACAGATCTTTATGAGTGCATTAGGACATATAACTCAATTCATGAACATCTTTTCCATTTGCACATACTTAACATTCATCCAAGTGTGTGTCTCAGGATCAAATCTGCATGCTCGTGAGGATTACGGACGGCACCGCTGTAATTCTGTGAGCAGCCAACTTACTGTGAATTCGTGTGCACCTTTACCCATGAATAAATAGGGAAGTGTGAAGTTTCATAGTAGAACTGAATCACAACACAAGGTTTTATGCAAGAAACAGCGTTGCTAATTTGACCTTTCTACAAAGCTTGAGATTTTATTTTCTATCCAAACTACTAATGCATTCAGTTATTTGCTTTTCTACTATTTAAAAGTATTTGGTATAATATGTCTGTATTAAGGCTCCTTCCTTCTCAGAATCCCTGGATGGGCAGTTGCACCACGCTACAGATGAAATGCCAAAGTGCAAACATCGTTTCTGCGGTGCAGTCCAAAAATTTAGGCTATACTCCTTAAAAAGATACAGGCTAATGTTCATCACTTCATATTAACGTTTGGTAACTGGAATTTGCTTACAGACTGGCACTGGGAAGGTATTGTCACCCTGTGCAAAATGTGGCAGTGACACTCAAGAAGCCACATGTTCTCCCTGATCATAGCAAGTGTGCATGCATTCCATAATGCCCTCCCTCCAGAAATAACAAGGATATGACAGAAGTTGCTTCTTTCAATTTGTTATTGAATGTTGCTTCGAGAAATTTAGTAAGCTGTCTACGGAGTTATCATAATAGCCCATCATAGTAATTGTATGAATAAATTTCTCAGTTGGACATTCAATCATTTTGTCTCTGACAGAAACAGGATAGAAATTCCTTCCATGTTAGGAATCCTAATGCAGAAACGGAGCAAATCGAATCATTCAGATGCTCAGTTCTGTAAGTCCATCTCCAATGCGATATTAGTCTTCTAGCACTATTGGGGATAAATATGAAAGTATGCAGAATTTGTATGGTAAAAGTCTGCTGTGTTCATGTGAAAGTACATTAAAACTTCTATTTGCAGTCCACCCAGGAAAAGAATGTGCATATGCTATGCTCTTTCAAGATATTTTCTATAGCTTCTGAGATCACGCCCTGTTAAATTCCATACACCTGTAATATATATCAAGGCTTTTCAAGTGTGTGTGTGCTGTTGGTTTCATCCTTGAGAAGTCTTGTGTGGCTTTTCCTGAAGGAAAGTTACAGCTTAATACGTTGTACCACAAATTGTACACTACATACATTTGTCTCTTGCTTCAAGTAGCAATGCAACCTTGGGGAGTTATCCTAGTGAGACAAGGGTGATTTTCTGCTGAATTTCCATGGCGAGGATCTCACCTTCTTCCTCCAGAAAGTCAGGATTCTTTCCAATCTTTTCTTTGGCTTCCCAGAGTGCTCACCAGGAACATTTGGTTACGGTTGCAAACAACTCTGTGAGTGCATGAATAATGCTACATGTGACCATGTGACAGGTACTTGCTACTGCAGTCCGGGCTTCAAAGGAATCAGATGTGATCAAGGTACAGTGAAATTCTATTTGTAAAATCTCTCTCTCCCTCTGTCCCTCTTTGTTTTGTTTTTGTTAACAATGATGTACTTAAAAATCTCAGAAATGAATTGCGCGATTCAATTTACAGTGTGTTATGAATTACTTTTAACAGCGGCTCTTATGATGGAAGAATTAAACCCCTATACTAAAATTAGTCCAGCTCTTGGATCAGAGAGGCACTCAGTGGGAGCAATCATTGGAATTATTATTCTCCTTCTAATTATTATGGTCTTGCTGGCACTGTTTGTGTGGTATCGACGGAAACAGAAGGAGAAGGGCCATGACATGCCAAGTGTATCTTACACTCCAGCCATGAGGATGACTAATACAGATTACTCACTTTCTGGTAAGGGTCTTTTTATGTTAATCAAATACTGACTCGTATTCCTGTATGTTGAGGAAATCAAGCTCCTGTGATGTATAACATGCTACTGAGTGTCAGAAATAATGATGCTTCTATTCTTGCTCCGAATACCATGATCACTTAGCAGAGACAGGAAAGCAAATACAACGTAAATTGACTGAAGCTGCTTCATGTATGAAACATTACTTACAAGACAGTGGATAGACCTAGATGTGAAATATGCTGCATGGAATATATAAAGTCCTATTTTTCCTCTGTGAAACCTTAAGATGACTTTTGGTGAGGAGTGGAGTTGACTGGATTAGTATTAAGGTTTTACTTTTGTCTGTGTTGCTGTTTCTGATTTGAGCCCTGCTGTCTGTTGTCCCTTCTGGGTGCAGACCAACCCCTGCCGTTGAAACAGCTGGTGTCAATTTTCTTCCCAGGAGCTGATAAAAGCAGGAGTGAGGAAGGGGGAGGTTATTTAAGTTAATAATAATAATAAAAAAAAGTTGCACTGATTGATTTCTCACTTCTTTCCATCTTCTGTTTCTGGTCTGGAGATCAGTTTATCTTAACAGATTGGCTAAACTTCATTGCTGTTATTCTTCATTCCTCAGTGTCCAGTGTCAGGTAGGAAGCCAGGTGGGAGGTGGTTTTGCTTCCTTCTTGTTTCCTCCAACCTGTCTCCAGTGAGGATCTGCTCAGCACTCGCTGTTCTCTGTCTGCTCTTTGCTGCATCTCCCTTTGGATGGCTATAAGGCTGGAATTTTAAATCCTAGTAAATACCAGCCTCTGAAACAGGCAGAAGTTGACCCAGCACCTCTGCTTTCTCAGCTGTGCATTGCCTTTTTCTTCCTGCTTTATAGTCAGGATGCACAAGGCCCAGCCTCTTGCCCCTGGTTTGCCCTCTGTGCTGTCCTGGAGTGGCATGGCTGCATTCTGCGCCTCTCTGCCCTGGGTGCACCTGGAAGGAGGCTCTCCCACCAAGCAGATGTTACTGTCTGCCAAACACTGCAGCCTAAACTCATTTTTAGATCACTTGGGTTTATACTGGAACATTCCTTCTTCTCACAGCTACAAGATGAGAGGAAAAAAAAAAAAATCAGCCTTGGACCTCCTCTCATTGCCTTATTTTTGAATGTTAGCTTTGCAGGCTCTTGCTTAAGCTGCTGATTTGGGTAAGAAATTTATGAAAACAGTGCCAAAGAGGGCTCATCTGATCCTTAGCTGGTTGCCAGCATGATTTGGCCTGAAATTTGTCATTTCTACATCGTTTGAAGAGCCAGACCATGAACTTGCAAAAGAGAACTGTGGCACATCTCAGCAACAGCAGGGCTCCGAGTTCCAAGAGAGCAAATCACAGCTGTTGGCACGGGAAATTGTTCTGAACTTTTCAGCCATCCGTTTCGTTCACATTGACACTTTATCCTTTTATTTACAAAGCCTGTTCCACATAATTTATTTGTGAGCTCTTCCAGTCAATGGATGTGTAACCCGGCGTGTTGAAGAGGCACAACTTAGAAATTTGCAAATAAGGCGTATTGCTGAGGCTGGGAGTTCCTGACTGCAGTCACTGAGCTTCTCCTTCCAGACAGCGTTGTTTTTTCTCCATACTTTACCGTGAATGGAGATTTCCCAGTCGATCTGATGGCATCCCAGTCTCACGCTCTGCAAGAAGTCTGAAGAAAGGCAATGCTGTGAAAGGAAGTTCTCACCCTTCAGATGGAAGATAGACAGATGACTTTCCTCCTCAGCTACAAAGTCTTTACATTTGAAGATGCTGGAGCCCAGCACAGTCCTGCTGGTTATGCCTCTGTAGGCACAGAACCTCCTGTATGATGCCCTTCACATTCCTTTCAGGTGTTCCTGCTGTCACACAACACTTAAGCAAAGAACACTTTGGGATGGATGAGTTCCTGGATACATCACAAATGTCTGAGGGATCACATCCTGCAGCTCCACTGAACCTGGGATCCTTTTCTGGGCTCTGGGCACGGCACTGCAGTTAATTCTTGCTGGCATTGCTGCTCTGTATCAGCTCAGTTTGTAAAAGTGCTGAAGTGCCAGGTTCTCTACTGGTCCTGTTTCCATCATGTTCATCTCATTCAATGATGGGTGTGCTGAGGCTGGGCCTTTCGGTTTGTCTTTGTGCAATTGCTACATGCAATAGAAACTTTGTCTCTCAAGAAGCTGCAGCTGAGGAGTCAGCCATCCATTCCTGCCTCTCCCATGACAAACTGCTGTGTTTCTTGCAGAGGAAGTCTGAGAAGTTAGAAGCCATGCTGCATCTTCATCTCATTATAACACGTCTACAGGTATCAGCACTGTTTCTAGTTGTCATCTTTCAGGAGGAGATTTCCAGATTCTGCACAAACTCCTTGCCAAATTCTGACGCTGCTCCAGTGGCCCTACAAAAATTCCTACCCATCGGGCACCTTCCCAGCTTTGGCCTTGCCAGTGCTGTTTTCAGCCTTTCACTTCTATTGATCAGAAAACTGGATGAAAACTGAGACAAGATCACAGATAAAAAATGGAGAATGTAGCACGGCTGGATGGCGAGAACAACACGTGTGGGCATGCACGAGCATTTGTGCATTGCAGGACACTGAAGGAGAGTAGCAGCATTAAAGGAATACACCAGAGATTTTTGCCTGGAGTCTCAGGTGTGGATTAAGGGCAGAATGAATACTCTGCAGATACACTCATGCAGTGAATACAATCTTTTGCAAACCCATGGACTTTGGCAGGAATTCCTCCTGAGCAGTGATTGCAGAATCCAGCCCCACATGGGTCTGTGGTTAATCTGACCCACCATTGCTGTTGTGTGGGTGGTGGTGTCACTGTCATAGAGAATCATACGTGCAGATCAGTAGCTCCTGGAGGCTGGAATCAATAACTTGTGTCTGCAGGATGTTTTGGGTCTGTGTGTCTTTAGCTCTGCAGATACTGATAATGCGTGCATATATGTGAGGGAGATTATAGGAAAGGAAAAGCCCTGGGCAGCCCTCTGACCATTCAGTATCTGGGAATGAAGGATGTGGCAGCAGAACACACTTAACAGCTACTGGTGGGAAGGAGAACCACCCATGTTGGGAAGCTGACCCACTGCACATGGATCTAAGAGCAGGCTGTCCCCAATAAACCTGAAAGCAGAACAGTGCTCCCAGCATGGGAATGATATATTGCATCCAATAGAGGATTTTAAAGCATGGATCGTTAACTCAAGGACATAGGGACAGAAGGGAAAATGATGCAGTAGTGCTGGAGAGCAGCAGAGATTTCTTCTCAGGACTTGCACAGAGGTGTGGTTATGGGCTGAATTGACGATGGAGGTCTTCTCAGAGTCATAACAGACTTTATGATAGGGGCGATTCCTATGCTGAGAGCCAAAAACTGAGCAAAGCTCAATGCAAGTACAGCATCCTGAGCGTTCAGCTGCCCCACTGACACTCAGTGAGTGGAGAAGATCCACACAAAAAAGCCAACTGAGAGGAAGAAGAAAGCAATGCCAGTTTGCAGCTCGAGCTCTCTGTTCTATTTACTGCAGTGCTCACTCCCCGTTTCCATGCCCCCCTGTCCTCCCATTGCAGGATGTGGATCATTGCTCTCTGTGTCACCGCACAGCCGTGGCTCACAGTCCTGCAAGGGATGGAGCATTCTGGCTCCCATCCAGATCTCTGTGCCTTCCAGCACTGCGCAGCCGGGGCTCGCAGTGGGACTGTGCCTTCATGGGGCCCTGCACAGCATGGATCTCTCCATGCTAACATTGACATAACCTTTGGGGCTGTTTTTATTTTGTTTTAATTTAAATTGTTCTTTTTTTTTTTTTTTTTTGTCATTTTAGCCATTTGAGTCAGTGCACTATTCAGGGTAGAATGAAATTCTCATCTTTGGGAAGAGGTTTTTCTTTTTTTTCTTTTTTCTTTTTTTTTTCTTTTTTTTTTTTTTTTTTTGTACTGGGATAGCATTAGATTTGAATTTGATGTATTTTCAGGCAGTGGTTGTAAGAGCTTCATGAATAAATGTGTAGAAAATGGACTGTGCTATCAAGGTAAATCAACCTGTGTGGGTACTTAAGTATCAGCCAAATGGAACTGTGTAGAAGGAGTAATTCTGAGTATATGGGGCTGCATGCAATGAAGGAAGACAAGATTTCTGGCGATGCAGACTTGTGTACGAGCTCAGATTCATTAATTCAGCACAGTGCTAAATAGCAGGGCAGTCTGGGAGACTTTTCCTTCAGCTCATTTCGGGTGCACAAGCGCTATGGCCAGATAAGCTGGGTGTGAACTTGTAAGGCATCAGCTGCCTCAGCAGCATCAGTGTGCACCTCTTATCTGGCCGCAGAGCAGCGAGCCAGACCTCCTTCTCTTCAGGCTGATCCTTGCAGCTGAGAGAGGGCACAGCAGATAAGGGAAGGGGAAGGCAGCACTGAGAGCTCAGGCTCAAACACTCACCTGCAGAGCAGAAAAACGTGGGTTGGAGCTGTGCTCCCCAGTGAGCAGACAGCACCTCATGGGCAGGCTGAAGGCGGTGTGAGCTGCTGTCTTTGGGTCCCAGACCCAGCCTTCATTTGCAGACCCCCAGCAGCAGCTGTTTGTATGTAACTATTGCACATATCATGGAGTTAAGGGGGAGGAGGTGGCAGAGCCCTGGCAGGTTGTCTCATCTCCCCAGCTGCTGTGCTGGGCAGAAAGTTATTGGTGGCAAGCCAAAAGAAGCTACATGAAAATGCTTGAGTCCTGGAAGCATGTGCTGATCTGAGAGCCTTTGCTGGCAATATCCTCAGAACACAACCAGGACCAAAAGGTTTTGCAGTGACCTCAAAAATCACACTGCATGTTCCAGCAGAAAGATGCTGGGTCAGATTTGCACACACGCGTGCAGGTCCCTCCCCCAGCACTTACGTAATAGACACCCTGCAGCTAAAACCTCTTATTTGAAATGGGATATTTCTCAGTAAATTAAGCTAAATCGAGATCTCCACCAGATGTCAGCAAAGCAAAGTGCACGGCCACAGGAATGCAGGTACGGAATGAGAGGAGCAGAGGGCAGAGGAGGCGGCTCCTGCAGGCAGTGCCCTTCCCCACCAGCTCCACGGGCAGCTGCCCTCTGCGTCTGCATGCCTTTCTGGGGCTGACCTCCCTTCTGCCGTTGAAGCCCTGCTCATTAAAACTAATCCAAGTATTTACTTCTTACAGGGCGTGGTGATTGATGTGGTTTTGAGTTGTTTGGATTTTTTACTCTTTCTTCTGGCGCAGCTTTGAAATATGTGTCTGTCTGTTGTCACGCTGAAGCCAGCCTGGCAGTGATGCTTTCCTTAGAACCACCTGTGGAGATATGATGTGTTTCCTGGTAAACTGTTTCGTTTGGTAAACGTGTTGCTGAGCTGAAGAAAGGAAATAGCTGAGGAGGTCTGTGTGTAACAGTGTAATGCCCTACTTTTTCTCTGCTTTTTCTCTGTGCCTTTGCACAACAAGCTATAGGAAGTGCTTTTGGCTTCTTGGTACAGCTATAGCACATTGATTTATAACACCCTGGAACAAGAAGTTCTGCTTCATAGCTAAAGGGATTATTATCACCAGTGGCTCCTACATGTGCTTAAACCAGGGAAGAAGCTGCTGTAAACTAAACATCCATTCGCTGAGCTTTGCATTTCTTCCCTTCTGCACAGCACAGGTGGATTGTCAGGAATTTTTATTTCTTTCTTTAAGTTCTTCAAAAGGACAGTGCTGTGCCAGATAATGATGTTGCTTTTTTATCTTATGCTTGATGCTAATACTGCAACGCTTCACCCCATGATGTGCAGAATACGTTTCACCTGGAGATGCTGCATAGCACACAGCACTGACACAGCGCTCGTCGGGTTTCTCAACTTCACTGTCTCTCGTGTGTTTTCAGTTTCTGAAGAATCGTTACAGCTTCCAAAGTATTTGTGATGATTGTTTTCTTCCCAGATGTATCTCAAGGTAGCAGCAGTGTGCACTGCTTTTCCAACCCAAGCTACCACACTCTCTCATGCGGTGTGACTTCGCGCTTCTTTCCGCGTAATCTGGATGGGAGCAGCTCCAGTAAGGTAGATATGATCCCACCTCACTGCAGCACTGTTCTTATCAGTTCAAGGAAATAAAGCGAAGCAATGCCTGCTGGATGCTGGCATGGTTCCTCTGATGGACACAGCAGGGTCTGCCTTCCCTGTCTGTGTCTGTGTAATCTCTGTGCCCTCTGATGGGAGCGTCAGCCCATGGTCAATAAGCCTTGCTTCCTAAGCAACTATAGGCTATGTTTGCATCTCAGGAAAGATAAAGAACCAGATAATTGTGATTCTTCATTAATATAATGAAAGCAAATCAATGAAGCATTAAGTCAGGAGTCTAACTTGGCTAAATCGTCATTTCCCAAATCAGCAGACACACAGATTTGCTGTTGGCACCAAGAGAGATGCGGGAAGGTGCTGGGGGTGAGCACAGTTTTCATCTGAGGTGCTCAGAGCTGTGCTGTCCCTTCATGCTCTCAGCAGAGCTCTTCAGATTGGAAATCTCAGGCATCTAGGAGGACATCCCTGCGTGTGCGATTGATTCCCTGGGGCCACTCATGGACTACACTGAATTCACCGCTTCAGCAATAGGCTGAGATGTGGTAAATAGTAAGGCAGCTCTTCCACTGGACACTTAATAAGCCAAGGTGAGGCGAAGGATAGGGAGCAGAAGAAAAAAGAAATGCAGTTGGTTTCGTTAAGGCTGTAGCTTTAAAAATGATGGTGCTTGCTGGCTGCATTGGCTTCATCCAAATGTAGCTGTGGTCACTGGGAAGCCACGGGAACAAAACTGGTGCCAAAAAGACACCATGTAATGAAACAGGGCATGCAAAAATATTTCCATTTGTACTCTTGTTGGACATTTCTTGGTTCTAAAAAAACCAATCTCATTAAACTGTAATAACAGAGCTGGCTCTAGAGATTTCACAGAGAAAAGTTTAGACAGATGTGTAAATATGTTTTCTGAGGTGGATGGTCCCCTTGCATTGTGCAGCTTTGCTCCCCAAGTTGGAAGTGCAAATGCTCATAATGTCAGATTCAGGATGAACACCATGAGCGTGGAGTTGGACCACTAATCCTACTGCACTAATTTCAGTGAAGTTGGAAAAGGTCAAAGCAAGCACCTCTCTTGATTCCCAGCCTGCAGCGCTATCTGATCACACAGCAGTTTCAAATATTTAGCTGCCAAAGAGCTATGAAACCCAGCGGTACATCTGGACAAGTGTGAAAGCTGCCCGCCTTGCGGCACTGCTGCCTCTCGTAGTTGATCAGCAGGTTGTCCTGGCATTGGAAAAGAAGGAAAAAAATGGATCTGGTATTTTTAGGGCACTTATCAAAATGTATTCCCTGACTACTCCTTTACATCCCCCAGCATCTAACTTATTCATGAGAAAGCTTTGCAGTGCTGAGTAGCTGAGGATGGCCAAAAATAAGCAGCTCCTGTCTTGCTGTTCTCCAGCCAAGTAAGACAAAAGAGCATATAAAGCCCCTAATGGCTGCAGTAACGAGTTTCATTTCCTAATCAGTTTGTCTGGTGCCATTTCCACTTTCTGCAGGAAAATGTGCACAAGTTGTGCTTGGAGGATTCATTTCTTTCCTGTGCCAGCTGGGGTCACACGGGAAGCAGTGCAGATGCAAAATGAACAAAAATGTCAGAGGAATCCTCTGAAGTGCTGAGGCAGAGTCCTGGGTGTGCTCTCCTCCCTATGCTTGGAGGGCCACCTTTCTGCTTTCCATCCTGCTGCCCAACCTTGCTCAGCAGGGCACCCTGCACAACCCCTCCAGGCTGGAAGGGGCTCACCTCCATTTCCCCTCTGCCAGGCAGTTGGCCACTGCTTGGGATGCTGCCCGTGTCCTTACAGTAAAACTTAAAGCTGCTGAGACAAGTAGGAGCAGAGGTGTTGGAGTGTGTGCAGGGGAGTGCTGGTGCTGGAACACATGCAGGCAAAAGCAGGTGGGAGGATAAGGGGGAGTGTATGAAGAGAGACTTCTTTTATCTAGCAAAATGAATGCTGAGAGGGAGTGTGATTGCCATCTATAAATGCATCGGGGTAAACAGTAGGAGGGAGAAGAGCTATTTAAGTTAGATAGCAGAGTTGGCACAAGAACAAATGAGGATCAACTGGCCATGAATGCATCCAGGCTGGGAGTGAGATTTCTAACATCAGATCAGTGAGATTTTGGAACAGCTTCCCAGTAAAGCTAAGGGGACAAAGAAACCTGTTAAAACGGAGCTTGATGTGTTATCTAAGTAATTATGTGCCAGGATGTCTGCAGTGAAAGGCAGCCAGACTCAGGTGCCCAGTGATCAAAGCTGTTCCCTAACACATAGTCAGGGTCTGGGCTGTGTCATGGCTTGAGGAGGAGGAGAGGCTCCTGCATCCCAGTGCAGACGGGGCAGGGGAGCTGCTGCACAGCTGTGCCAAGAGCAGATGGGGTGTGCTCACCTCAGTGTTTCACAGAGCTCTTAATTCCACCCTACCCAATGAGAAGAACATCGCAGCCAGAGCCCACGTGTTGCTGGCTTCTGCAGACATCATAAAAGTCAATTGCTGTTAGGTGTCCTGAGCAAATGTTTAAAGCCAGCAGATTCGCTTCTATTAAAGGAAGTTCTAAACTTAGAAATAGCAAAACAGAGGTCGCTGGAAATGGACTTACTGGTTATCACCCAACTGGTAATGAACTCAGCCACCAGAAACATTGTAAAGTAGCTCTGACTGAAACCCATCCAGGGAAAGAAGACTGCAAACACAGTGCTGGGGAAGGCCCTCTAAAGCTGAGAAACACAGACACCTGCAGCCAATCGTTGGCAGCTGATGGAAAGCACTTAACAGCTGTTTTTTGGGAGGATACGATGGAGTTGGTGCCCACATTTAGTTGCTTGATTACTGTAGATTCCTTAGAAAAGCTGAGTGTGGACCAACGGTGCTCAGCTCCTTTCTGTGATCTATCCAGCCAGCTCTGAGGCACAGATAACAGCCCTGCTTTACTCCTGTGAGTATCTCATTGATCTAAAGGAAGATTTGCAAGGTGTGAGGTAGTTTTAACCAAGTTGCTAAAGTTACATGCTTGGATTTTTAGTGAGCAAATTTACTATGAAATGTTTTTTTTCCTCTAGGAAAGTAATTTTGGTTCACAAATCGAAGTCTCTTCCATCTTGGGGAAAAAATGTTAGCAAATTATAGCGTGCTAAGAACTGATAGGAGCACAAAGAGACAGCTATAATCACATTTCTTCATAATTACTGCATTCTGAAAAACTTAGAAGTGTCCCCAGATCATTTCATTAAAAAAATCAATTCTAGCCCATAGCTCTTCATGCCAAATTCTGGGTTTGCGAGCTGATTTATAAACCCTGTGCAAACAAGGCTTTTAATAGAAACTTGAAGACTTTAATAAATGTGATCTAAATGGTGCAGCTGGAATGAAAGTTGGCATTCATGTGATTGCTGCAAGTTACAAAACAAAGAGGAGCAGCCGTGGGCTCTGTGGCTGAGGGCTTCACACCACACAAACACAGGGCTGGCAGTGCTGCTCCCTGCCCTGTGCTCTGCTGCTGTCTGTGCCTTCCTGTCTGTGTTCCTTTGTCCTTGCTGGGGAGCACCAGGAGCAAGGTTGGGCTGCTGCTGCTCGCAGGCAGTGATTGCACCGGCAGTGCTGCAGGTTACTGTAGTGGGGTTTGAGTGTGGGCTTAGAGGGTCCTGCTGTGACTGTGTGCCTCCAGTCCCACGCAGCACCCAGGGGCTCAGTAGCTGTATCTCTGCCGGCCAGAGCCTTTGGGTGGCACTGAGCTGTGCACTGTTCAGACCCCATGGGCTGGTAGGAATCCATCTTTGTGTGTGTGAATACATGTGTGTGTGGTTGGAGTATTCACCCCATTGTGTGTCCTGAACCTTTGTCCTGGCTGCAGGGCAGCCCACCTGGAGCACAGCTATGTGCTACCCAAATAACAGCTACGTGCTTTCCAAATGATATAACTGAGTTTTGCAAAAGTTTCAGCTGAGTAGCTCCCAGCACACTGTGCACTTGCTTGTAGAGAGACCCAACACTGTGTGTGTGTGTGTGTGTGTGTGTGTGTGTGTGTATTCACACCATCTGTCCGTGCTGTCTCCTGTGTCTGTACAGTGGTTTCTGCCATGCCTGCACAACTCGCTGTGCATTACACGTGGTGTGAACACGCACCAGGCTGCTTTCTGCATCCGGAATTCAGTCAGCGAGGTCAGGCTTTCGCCTCTGATTGCTACGAATCTTTCTGCTGATGAAATCCGGTTTCTGAGATGGGATAAAAGCTTCAAAATGTCAGTATGCAGCTTGTAATATATATATATATATATATATATATATATGTATATATATATATATATATATATATACACACATAAAAGTGTTGCTGTCCTAAATGTGGCGCTCCTCGTGGAGCGCAGCATTTGCAGATGCTTTCCCTGGTGATAAAAGAGGCTGCAGGGCTTTGCAGGCTCATCCTCAGCAGAACCTCACAGATGGATGTCGGGCTGAGCAGGGCCTGCTGGTCCTCGTGCCCCTCAGCATTGATAGAGGAACTCACTGGGAGGTCCTGAGCACATCACTGCCTGAATCCCAGGGCTGACAGCAGCCGTTTCTCCTCGTGCATTGCAGCACATTGCCCTGCACTGGGGTGGTTGCAAACAGGGCTGCGCAGGTGGGTGATGCTTGCTCTGGGGGCAGTGGGTGCTGGGTGCCAGCTGGGATTTCGTCTCGCAGTAGATGTCAAAACATCAGCAGTATTTTTTTTGTCCTTGGTCTTAAAGCCCAGTATGAAAGCTAAGCAGAAATTAATGAGAGATCAGGAAAAATGAAATGCTGTGGAGAGCAATGAGGGCTTTGTGACTTCAGCTCTTCAGAAGAGGGCTGGGATCTGCCCTTGAATTGACACTTCCTGAGCTGTAGTTTCACAGAGGTGGCTTTCAAGGGAAAGATTTCAAGGTGGAACGCAGCAGCTTCCGCAGCCCCTCATTGCTGGGATTTGCTGACCCGAAGCGCTGTACTCTTGCAGAGATCCCACAGGAGCACTGACTGCCTTAATGGCTGTGCAGAATCCCCATCCCTCAGGCAGGCACCGTGTGCCCTCAGCGTTGTGTTTAAGCATGACCTCAAGTGAGGATTTTCCTACAGGAAAATCGAGGCTGTGCTGAAACATCCCGAGCCCTGCAGCAGCTCCTGCAGCCAGCGCCGCCTCGCTGTGCCCATCCTACCAGCTGGGCACACATTGTGCCACCGTTATTTTCCTTGAATTGAGAGGAATCTGCTAGCTGTTGTTTCTCTTGTAACTGAGTACACAGATGTATTACAGTCCCAGTGCCTGTCTGCATGCTGTGTTGGTGGTTTGGTGCATCCATCTCCATCTGTTGTTCTGGGGCTGCCCACGTGTCGCTCCATGTGCACGGGTACCTGTGTGATTTGTGGCTCCCCGAGGAAGCCCCGTGTTTTCCAGCATGCTGTGTTCATTGCCTGGTGAAGTGACTTTCCTTTGTGATTTTCCCTAATGCTAGTGAGCAACTATCAGACTTCATACAGATAAGGATCTGAAATGGTGAGGCCAGGGCAACGTCCATCTCCCTTTTAGATTTGTGACATCAGTGCACTGAAGTCTTGGGTGGGAACTGTGTGTTGATTTCAGCATTAACTCATTATCATACTTTTTGAACAGCTGAGTAACAAAATCCTTGACAGAGAAACTGCAGACTGGAGACCCTACAGCTATCTGAATGAACTAGGTCAGTAATTTTTAAACAATTTAATCATTGTGGTTGGCTTCAGAGCAACACCAAACCCAATCAGCCGTTTGTGAGGACGTTGACAATAATGAAAAATACTGGTGTTGTCTTTATTTCAATACCAGAATTGCCAGTACTGAAAAATTGAGATTTGAACATTGTTTTCTTTACCACAAACCATGGATTGGGAAAGCAGAGTCGATATTCGCTCTCATCTCCCTTCCCAGGTTGAATTGCTGTCTGTCTGCTCTATAAATGTGTTTTTAAGGAGTGAAGTTCAATTGCCCTGAGTTTGCTTTCCCTACCGTCCCTTTCAAACAGGGATTTCAGCAGCTCTTACCCCCAAACTAGGTAAAATTAGTGCTTTGGATGCTGTTTGTTTTCCTGTCTGAGCCCTTGAAATTTTAGTTTGTCTTGTGCAAAAAGCACTTGCCCTCTCCTTTACTGATTGCTAATATCTTACTGGGAATGCACAGTGTGAGGGGAAAACACAGGATTAAATGGTATCATGGGGTTTTTAAGGCCAGCTATCTCAGCTCACGAGGCAGAGGCACTCACATCAGTTCATCACATCGTGTTGGGGCGCCGTGGCCACGCACCGTGCCCTGCCCAAAAAGCAGCTTTTCCCTGCATCAGGAAAATCACAAAGCTGTCGAGCTTCAGTGCAAAACCTTTTCCATTGCTATCATTCGTTTCTGTTTTCTTCTTTCTAATAGTCTGCAGAACTGCTGCTGTGCTTATCTGTTTGTAGCATGGAGAGCTGGGGGTGGTGAGGACTTCCACATGTTCCTCCAGTCGGTTTTTCTTTTGCCACCTTCCTGCTTTTCTCACTGGCTTTATTTATCTTTATCTAGCTGTATCCTGCACTGGGGGCGCTGCATTTGTCCTCCATCCCTGTGCTTTCTCAATAGCTGATGTGATGCTAAATGCTCTTGCACTAAGAACAACATAGAAGTGATAAATAGTGAAGTGATCTACAGCAAACAACAGTCACAACTTTTTCCATACCATTTTGCAACCCAGATATGTTATTTTGATATACTTTCTTCCATTTTTTTTCTTCACAAAAATGTCTGTTTTCCATTAACTGATAAAAATGAGAATTTTTTTCCCTTTCAGTGCCAGAATTTGTTTGCTTATGCTACGTTTCATAGCATTGAGTTCTTCTTTAGAGCAAAACCATTTTTGCACGAAACTGTAAAATAATGCATTTTCATCTTGTGCTGTTGCTTCTGTGCAGTAGAAATGGCAGATTCCATTTGTGTGCAATTTTCAGATGAAAGTGGAAAAACTTATATTCTATGTTTATAATTCCAAATCTAAGTGAAGCCTAATGAAGTCAAATAGGAGATCTTGGCAGCTTTAAGCCACATCTTGTGCAGTTGTACCAAAAACTCATCCCACCATCAGCTTGTACTGCACAGATGCTCCAGATTCCATTTGGAATAGCAGGCATTGTGCATTGCTAAATTTGGGTAAAATAGGTGGTTTGTTTTTTTGTTTTTTTTGGCTTTTTTTTACCTCTGAAATGCATTTCTGATCAAACACTGCTCAGGGCTGGGTGCAGCCCCAACCTGCCCAGAATGACACCACCTGTATTTTGGGCACCCTTGTACGACCACTTTCCAAAGGACGTGGCTGTGCTTATGCTACACGTAAGGATGCAGGAACTGCGCTGATGGGGAAAACTTTGCTTCTCAGTACCACACTGGATCCAGGCTTGGGCTTCCCTTTGATCTTGCAGCTCAGGGAGAGCCGGAGGAATTGCTGCTCCCAAGGAGAAATCACTACCTTGTTCAGGAGAAGCCAGGATCCCATTTGGTGCAGCAGCAGCAGGCAGCTACCGACCAGCTGAGAGGTGCTGTTGTGCTCTTTTTTGCATGCTGTGCACTGTAATGCCTCATTTCCAAGTAATGCTTCTATATCTGTGTGTAAGAGGACCAAAGGAGTGCTCTCTGGAAATGCTGTGTGCTGTTCATTTGCCCGTGTAAGGGCGATCACACAGATAAAGGAGACAGGGGTGCTTTAATTAACCCCTCTCTGCTCTCTTCCCTCTCATAGGCTGCAGTTTTACAGCTTTGGAAAACACCCTCTGATTGTTCAGTTTGCATCATTGGCCTTTGCTGAGCCAGGGGTCGTTCCCTGAGATTTTAATTGCAGAGAAAAAGAGAGATAGTGAGTGGGCTTGGGGCCAAAGGAACAACTGAGGATCCAGTGCTGCTCCTGTCTAAGTCATCCTGTGTTCCCTGTGATAGCAACGGAGCACAACAGGCAGAAATTGTGCAGGAAAACAGGAGCCTTATGTATGCCTATGCAAGCCTATGCATATATGCTATATATATGTATGCACAGATATATCCCCTCTGCATCCCTATCAGTGGACCTTATCAGTCTGCAGAAGTTCTGTCTCAGTTCTGCAGAGCTTCATTCACCAGGCTTGCATCCTTTACAGCCAGGAGATGTGAGGAGCAGACCAAAGTCTGTATTTTTACTGCTGGCACATTTGCTAATGAGCTTCAAATATCAGCTTGTCAGGCTTTTTCAGTGAGATAATTTTGTCGGTTAAGTGGAGCCAGAGTCTTGTGATGAGCACATTTCTGACCTAACTCGCTGTGTGCCTGCAGCTCTCGTGGCTGTGTGCTTAGAGCTCAGTGCTGGGAGACTCAGTGGTGCCAAGGAGAGGCAGCTCTGTCACCTCTGCTTTGTGTTCCTGCTGTTTAATGCAGTCCAGTCCTACTAGTTTCAAGGAATGGCTTGTCTGCATTTTCTCTTTGCTGTCTCTTGTTGCAGAACTGGAATTATTTGCCCCACGGTTAAATCTCCTCTTGCCAGAGTCCAGTCTGCATTAAGCAATTGAGGCTTCCAGCTCCTATTCTAGGCAAGTCAAAAATCTTAAAACATCTACTGGGCTTAGGAAAGGTTGTTATGCTCATCAGCTCATGTGTTGGATGCAGTGGGCTGCAGAGAAAAATGGTTTTTGTGGTGGTTTTTAACAGTAGCCCTCAGTGCAGACACTGAATGTGCGATTTGCTGCACATCTGAAGTGACTCAAGCTGTATGTATTCCAAGGACCAAAGCCACAGTGTGATTCAGAGCTGACTCTGTGTTTTCTCTAAGCTGTGAGGTGTGGAAGAATGTTTTCAGACAGGACTCTGATTTCAGCCCAGCACACAGTTTAGCTTCAGACTTAATCCTAAACCTTCCTACGTTCCAGATTCCTCATTTATTTAGGTCTTTTCCACGTTCCTTACTTTTGCAGTTTACAAAATAACATATCCATCGTTCACTGGGAGAATGCAGTGAATACACAGAGATGGGTTACAAGAAGCACAAGCAATGATTACAGGCAGATGTAAAGGGAAGAAGCCAAGAAGGGCTGGCGGGGTCCTGCAGCCAACGCAGTGCAGCACCAATTCTGCGTGCACCTTTCCCAGCAAGTGTGTGCTTATTTTCTACTGCTGCACTGGAGCAAATGAGAGCTGAGCAGAAGTGTGGCAGTGTGCTGTTGTGCTGCTTGCTGCAGACAAGTACTGCTGTTCCCCTGCTCTGAACCAGAAGCCAGCTGCGTCAGATCAGCCCGGTGTTGCTGCAGCAGCCCTCCTTCTCATGGGGTCTCACATCTGTGTGTGCAGCACAGTGACCTCTGCTGCTGCAGAAGTCCAGCCAGTGCCTGCCATTTCCAGCACGACTCAGAGTGGATCAGAGTTGGTGAAATATGTGCTAACGGTGGAGTTCTTCCTCTCTGAGCCTTCAGGTCCTCACCGTACTGCTGCTTCCTCGCTGCCCCGAGGCTCCATCCATCAGCATCTTGATGATCACAAAGGAAACGTATCTGTAAAGATCTGACAAGGATGCTCGGATCAGGTGGTTCTCATACATGGAGTGGACAAGTCACAGCCTGCACGGTCCTTGCTCTAACCATGGGTATCTTCCCATTAATCCCCCAAGGACAGCCAGCTGGGAGACGTCTGGGACACGCTTTTACCAGCATAACTGCACTGCTTGACTGGGATTCTGTCAGCCACAAAGGCAACCAAATTTGTGTTGATTTTGCTAATCAGAGAGGAATACTGGACTCTAGTTAAAAAGAATTAAAGGGCTTATGTTAGCTTTTCCTTTTGAACTGATGGATGTTCAGGATAAATGTCATTAGCAAAAACAGAGAAGGCTCCCACCCCTTTCTACCTCTGCAAGCACGAACAAGTTCTTGTGGAATCACGTAAGGCAGAAGTCCTTGCTTTCAGCTCTCCACTCAATTCTGCACTTTCAGGCTGCTCTTGTCACTTAGGAACTGTTGTCACAGCTGATGCTAAACCTTGCAAACTTATAACAGAGTCATATAGAATAATTTAGAAAGATGGTACACAGCTTAGTCTTAGATTGTGAATTAAATAATGTATTGTACAAGTAAAAGTAAGCCAAAAATTAGAGAGTAATGCAACATGACTTGCAGGCTCAGGTTTGAAAGACTTTCTCTTAGGCTCCCTTTATCCATCTAACCTAGTGTTTCAGTAATGAATATATGGGTTTTTTTCCTGTTCTCCTGATGGATAGCAGTTCTTGGTAATGAGCAGTACCCTGTCTCCAGAGAAGCTCTTAAGCATATGCATAATTTTAGGCATGCACAGAATCCCCACTGAAGCTGAGTGCGTGCTTACTGCCGAGGATGTGCTTAAGAGCCTCCCTAGACGAGGGCCTTGATGTACAATTTAGAAGAAAGACTATATGCTGCTCAGTAGTCAAAGCAATCCAATTTACATAAATATTTATTTCTTTTCCATTATATATCATTTTTATGCAGGTGCTTGTGGGATGGATAGACGTCAGAACACATACATAATGGAAAAAAGCTTCAAAGGTATGGTATCCAGTGCCTGCAGCCACCCTGGCAAAGAGTTTGAGAAGGGTGTCGTAGAAGAGGTGAGATAGGAGACCTGGGCGCCCGGGTGAACGGCTCTGCAGAGGCAGAGAGGGACAGAGCAATTACCCACAGCGTGCGCCCATGTGGCTGTCTGGGATCTGAGTCATGGATGTGAGTCTTTCCCAGGATGGGGACTCCTGCCCTGGCAAAGCATCTTAGGAAACAAGGCGGGTTTGCTGTGGGAACAGGATGTGCCAGTGGAGGGGAAGCTCTTGTAGGACCAAGCAGCCATCCTAGCTTCCTGGTGGCGGTTGCTGCTGATGGACTGGTGTGTTGGTCTGCTAGGTTGCAGCTCCATAAGGCTCACAGCTGCCTAGAGAAACAGCTGACCCTGCTATACGGCCTTTGCAGAGATTTATAGCAGAGCCTGAGAAAAGACCTCACTCAGTGCATTAACCAGTCGCACTGGCACGAAGCGATTAATGGGCTCTGACTCTAGGGCTGTTCTAAAAAGGGATCGTGTGTGAGTCATGTAGAAAGGCCCAGTGACTTTAGATTTTGGTTGTCCTTCAGACTTGCACATTCAAAATATTCGGCTGTGCATGAACTACAACTCTTGGCACAGCATGGGCTGCAAGCACCTCCGCTCCTGCCCTGCGCCTCAGGTTGGGTCCCGGCCTGGCTGCCTGATTCCAGTGCTGTCAGTTGGGCTCAGCCAGGCCCAGCTCACTGCTCCAAGGGGCTGAGCTGCCACAGGGCGAAGCCTGTATCTGCACTGACAGCAATGCTGCTGAATACAAAGCTGGTAAGGGCAGTGATGGATGCTGACAGCCAGGCCTGGGAGCACTGAGCGCCTTGTGGCTGCTCTCTATAAAATAAGGCGATGTAATATTTGGTAGAACGGGGCTTTACAATACACTGAAGGCAACCAGTGCTCCATGGGCAGGTCCTTGACAAAGCTGAATTTAAAATATTAAGAGGGTTATATGTGTATATCCAGCTCAGTCCATTCATTTCACTGCTTCTGAAAAAAGGAAAATTTTTATTGCATAGTTAGTTGTTCTCTTTACATGAAGCTATTAATTTCAAGATTAGTTTAAACTAAATTACTGTATTTAGAAGGTTAGAAAGCTGCTTTGAACAGTCAGACATCCCACCTAGGGCATAATGATGCAGAGGATGTATCCATGTGACAGAGGAAAGTACAGCAGGAGAGAGCTGTGAAATGCAGTTTCTACTGTGACATACTGTGTTTATTATCCAGGATCTGAGCAGTTTTCTTTCCATGTCTGTCTCCTTAATGAATTCAGAACTCAGGACCAGAAGCCACATCAGAAAGGCTGGTGGGCTCCTAGGGCAGCAGGGCAGGCATGGCGGGATGCAGGGACCCCTCGGGGTAGCGAAGGGCTGGGAGCCACCGTGCCACCCCATGCCTGGTGCTGTGGTGTGACAGCAGCTGAGCTGTCGCTGCATTTTGAGAACAGTTTCTTCCCTGTGTGTGGTGCCCAGTGCTGCCATTTCCAGCTGTTCTTTACAGCCGACTCCTTTTCAATCATTTATTTATTTATTTTATCGTGCATGCTGATGCACTGGTGGGATAATGTGACCTCAGGCACTGGCATTTTAAGGAAGTAAGTTCCCTTTGTGCGATTCCCAGTGAAACCCCAGCAGTTTGGATCATTGATGCATGCAGAGACTTGGGGCATCACTTAGAGCGGGTTGTTTGCTTGTTGTATGGGAACACAACTGTGTCATGCTCGCCTGAAGCAGAGCGGAGCTCTCTCTGCGTTGCTGTCCTGGCAGCAGTGAGGTTAGCCAGGGAAATGGAAACAGCCATAAACGTGATTGAATAGTAGGAGAGCATGTTTTACCTGTGTACATCATATGTCCTTAGCACTTTGAACATGAAAGTAGGTATGAGGCTTGTCATTAGCATGCCAGAGGATATTCAGAGCAGAACAGAGTAAACCGGTCTATGGGAGGGACATGTAGATGCTGAATAACAAGAATAAGATCTTGAAAGGTGTGTGATGGGTATGCAGGCAACCCAAAGATGGGACCTCAAAGCCACAGGAACCCTTTCTCCCGCAGCAGGCAGGGTGCTGAGCTGGGGATGGTGTGGGCACAGCAGAGCCCAGCGCCTAGCGCCCACACACAGCCCCAGGGCGGCTGGACTAGGGATGGCTCAGTACGTTTGAGATGAGTTAAATTAATTTGTGAAATGAAATCTGACAAGTGATGCCAGACTTTTTAATTATCCCCAAATTACCTCAATAACAAAGTAAGTCAGAGGCTGCCATATCCTTCAGAGTTAAATTCCTTGCGATCTTGTGCATAATGTCCTGTGGGCTAATGGCTCCCTGGTGTACAGCGTGTTACCCAATGTGCTCTGGTGCTCTGTAAATTATACCATATCTGAGCAAAGGGCCTAATCCCTGGACAGACACAAAACTCCCACTTACGTCAGTGGGCATCGGTTCGTGGCAGCGCTGCCTATGGGAAAAGGCAGATTTCAGGACTGCCCAAGTGATTGCAGCAAGCCCACGTGCTGTTTTGCTGGTCCCATCTGCGTGGGATGTAGCAGTGGTGTCAGTACTGGCTCAGGAAGATAAAAGTAGCTAGCTGGATGGAACCAGATCACATATCCAGGCTGAGTCCTGGCGGTGCCTGCACCAATGCCTCGGGGAGCTCGTGGGGACCAGAACGTATAGTGTACAGTATAGGTATTTTTAGCCTAAAGATTTTCATTTCATTATAGAATTTGTTAGTCTTTGCTGTCTCCCCACTTTTGAACACTAGTGGGTCCTAGACTGCATGGCATCTTGATTTAAGTCATATATGTATCAAAAGCTAGCAATCCTGAGATCATTCATGCACAAAAGCCTTTGGTCTTGCAGGGTTGCTTCATTGCTAAAAGGAGAGGTCAGGCTTTCACCAAACTGCCTTTACTGGGATCACGTTGCTGGCCAAGCCTTGTGCCAGCGGCTGCGGGTTGCTGGGATGCACCAGGCTTGCTTTACTGTGAAGGCATTGTTAGATCTCATCCAGGCTGACGTCAGACAACAAGCTTCTAAATTTTAATTACTCCATAAACATTGCACTGGTGTCGGGGCCTCTGCCAGCCCTCACATATGAGTCCAACTGGGCTGCTTCCCTGACCCTGAGAGCTGAGGAGCCCAGAGATTGGTTTGTATTGCTGAAGTCAGAGGAGAGAAATGCAGAGGCTCACTGCAGGGCATGACCTGAGCCCTGGCTTAAGGGAACCTGCTCAGCACCAGCCCCCACAGGGACTGAGGGACACATACAGACACAGCTCCAGGTCACACTGGTGATGCAAACTGGCGAGTTAACAGGATGGGGAGGAGAAGCACAGAGATGAGGTTTTTATAGGAGAAGCGATATCTTGTTGTCTGTCTATTTAACCTGAATTTCTCTTTTTGTCTCCCATACTAGACAGCGGGGGCAACTGGGATTGCAGCTATTTTGCAAGTCCCGCTATTTCACCGGGAGTATTTCATATATACCAGGATCTGCCTTTGTACTGTAACCCAGCACAAGAAAATGCCTCATCTTTCATTGCATCGCTCTAATTCTAAATTAATGGCACTGCCCAGCAGGATGCACACAGCAGCAATGGCACGTTCTTAAATGTCAATGTTAAGACCTATTTATTCTCTGTTCTGTTTCTTTTTATTATGTGAAGCAAGACTGGCACTGTACCTTGCAGCAGGCTGGCACACCCAGCCAGGGTCACCAACAGGGGGACACCAGTGGTGCCACTGTGCACCAGCCTTGCTCTCCCTGCTCCTCCATCCCCATCTCCTTCTTCCAGCCCAGGGAGAGAACCAGTAGATTACTACAGCAGTGGGGGAAAAAAAAGCAAAAGCGAGGTTCAGACGGAGGCTTATCCCCCTGTGGAAACCCAAGTGTTCCCCACTAGCAGGAGCTGCCTCCTTCCAGTCTTAATGGCAGAAGAGAACACAAACAAACCAGGTTCTCCTAGTGCTGGGAAGCCCCAGGAACAGAGCTCTCAGGGGACACAGTGCATACGCTGCGCTGATGCAGTTCTACGCCTGCTGGAAATGTCTTGCTTTCAAACAGATGGCATTTGACGTACTCAAAGCCCCTGGGACACAGATGCTGATGGATCCGACCCACAGCTGCATGCATGGGCTGCAGGTTACAGCAGAACTCCTTAGGAATGGGAGAGGGAGGAAAAGATTGCCACCAAAAATTAACTACTGCAGTAAATGACAACTAGGACCTTTCACAGCAAAACCTTTGGTTTCGAGCAGGTTTTTCTTTCCTGCTAAGGGAATTGTGGATGCAATGGTTTGGACGCACCCAGAGCACAAGCATTGGGTGTCTGTGCTGGATGCTTCGAGGATCTTCCTTCCCCATGCCCCCTTCTGCCCGCCCTATCCCTCCTCCAGAGGTTGAGCTGCAGCCCACCCAAGGAAGTTAACAGTCCCACCCCCATCTTGTTTTGCAGATTATATGAAGGAATCTGTGTGCAGCTCCAGCACTTGTTCTCTGAACAGCAGTGAAAACCCATATGCCACCATTAAAGATCCCCCCATCTTAACATGCAAACACTCCGAGAGCAGCTACGTGGAAATGAAATCGCCTGGTCACAGGGACTCCCCATACTCAGAAATGCCCACTTCATCGACAGCCAACAAAAACATCTACGAAGTTGGTAAGTGGGAAGTGCCGCCTCTCATCTGTTAACAGTTGGGGTTTACCTCAGTGCTGCTGGGTACTGCAACCGCTTTCCCTTGCTTTCCCAGAGCCCACCATCAGCGTGGTCCAAGATGTCCGTGCCCGGAGTGCCAGTTACCTCCAAAGTCCATATGACCTGCCTAGGAACAGTCACATTCCTAGTCACTACGACCTCCTCCCTGTAAGGCACAGCCCAACGCACGGGCCATCTTGGGACAAGCAGTCTTAAAGGGATGGACTTCACTGTGCTGCAAACACAAACTCTGAGAAAGCAAAGAGAAGACAATCCTTTTCTGCACTGCAGGATGCTGACGTGACTTTAGGCTGCAAGGACCTAACGTAGCTAAACATCAGCTTGGGCCAGCTGCTGCTGCATGATGTTATTTAAAAAGACTTTTTTTTATATGGATCACAGGAACTAATGAGAACCTTCTCCAGATGTCGCTGGAGTGCATCGCCCCTGGAAGGTGTCCACTTGCTCCAGGCAAAAGCTCTCTGCCATGTGTATTCTAACCCTGGCTTTGCTGTAAAATAAAACACAACACACTGAGTAGGAGGACCTAGAGACATGCATACATCTCTACCAATTGCATCAGAAAACCTTGTAATGTTAGGAACGCTGGAATACAGTTTATATCTCTGTCATAGAAATGGACATTTTTCTGAATGAGAATAGGAAAGCTGCTTGTTTCACTGTCTGGAAACCTCATTTACTGCCATCGCCATGGGCATCCTGTGCAGATCATGCTTGGTAATTAATGCTCTGTTCACCTTTCATTCAGTACCAGGGTCCTGGAGTACAGGAATACCAACGCATTTTTAAAATGTAACACTTTGGCCAATGCCCAGTGATCTTTGTCAACGACTGAAGTTTAAGCAATGAGTCTCATACCCAGCTTACTGCACTTGGAACAAGCACGAAATATTTCGGTACAGCTATGCTTTAATTTTCCTTGTACACCTTCTTTTTCATTAGATAAATGCACAGCTTTTTTGGGTGGTGCAAACAGACGCACCTTCACCTGCATCCTGGGACACTGCAGGTTTGCACAGACCAGCCCTGGTTCAGTTTCTTAACAGTAGGATGCATTGGCTTCATCACTGGCAAACCACGTCACCACGATGCACCTGGCAGCACGTCCTACATGACACCCTTTAATTTGACGTGCATTACCATGTAGTGCAACTTTATCTGTTGATGATTTTACCTGACATGCCATTACATTGAGCCGAAAATGGGTTTCTTTTTTTCAGCAGCTGTTTGTAAAACAGTTATCAAGGGGTTGACCTATGGTAAAGCTTTGGACTAAGCCACCATGATTTTTTTTTTTGTAATCTTTATTGACCTAGAAAGTAGAATACTTGCAGTTAAGCAGTTCCTTGTAGATTTTGAGCATGAAGTAGTATTGATTCTAAGTATGTAATTTTACTAGGCAAACGTGGAAGTAGCAAGTTGCCTTTTAAAGATTAAAAAAATTCTGTTGCACATTCACCAGTCTGATGGAAGCAGAAGAGAACCAAGCCAACACCAAGCTGTTTGCTCTACATCTGACCACCAGTGAAAGCTGCTGACCTAGGGGACTGGTATGAGGACCCTGCTGCCATGGAGACAGCAGCTCAGAGCCAGCAGCTCAGAGCCAGCTCCGTGTGACAGAGGCATCGGAGCACCTCGGGTAGGGCAGCACCGAACCCCACAGCACCCCGGCAGCAGCCAGGATGGCAGGGCCAGCTCTGAACCCCTATGTGCAATTTAAGAGATCCAGACAGCTGAGCTGAGCCCAGAGATCCCCCCCCAGGCTTGCAGAAGAGCAGATTTTCATGTTTCAGGATAACTCCAAAGTATTTACATGAATGCTGCATGTGTGCATGGGGGCAATGACTGATGAGCAATAGTAGTTTTATTTTCCAGGAAAGCCTTATATGAGATGTAATTAGGCACTTATTTTGTAGGGCCAGGAGGGGTATATTTTGCATACATGAGTGGAAAGACTTACCTCAAAAATACCAAGAGAAATGCAGTTTGATGAGGAATCCTCTGGTTAGAGACCTATCTTGCCATCTAGCACAAGCAGTCTCAGCTGCCAGCCTGACCAGGGCCTGTGTGTTGCTGTCAACATTGAGATGAGAGAGCAGAGATAAGGCTCAGAATTTTGTTTTTGTTTTTTTTTTCAAAGCTGGATTTTCAATCCAAATGCAACGATGTGCATAGAGCTTAACAGGAAAAAAAAAAAAAGAAAAAAACAACAAAGGAAGTACCTTCTGTATATTATTAGCATTAGCTTAGGAAATAGGCATCAAAATGGCAATACTTTTTTAAGGCAAGACAGATTTGTAATATATTTGTTCACTGTGCAAAGGTATTCCACCTTGTACAAAATAAATCCAATTTCTCTCAGTGTGTTTTTCTCAAACTTACTCATTGGCAGACCAAAACTCCCAGCCCACGCTCAGGTTGAGCACTCCATGCAACACTGCTGGTTACAGAGGGGCTCACCATGTCTTCATGGAAAACCTCGCAGGCACCTTGCAAGCCAGAAGCTGTTTTTCTGTTGCAGGACTTCTCAAAATAACATAATGACATAATTCAGGCTGAAATTTTGAGCTCGCTTTGAGTAAAGCCCAGCTTTAAAACAAAAGCAGCAGGCATGGTACGCATCTTTTGTACAACTCTTCCCGTAGCTCCCGTCTGCAGCAGCTGAACCTTTGCAGGTATGAGCAAGACCTCAGTGAAGCAGAAACAAGGCGATGACAGCTCCACGTCTCTCTGCTGTTTACACAGTGCCTCTCAGCCGTGTCCCAATGGCACCCAGTGACGCCAGCAGGTTGCAGTGCTTTTGGTGGGCACAGGAGGACACAGGCCAGCAGTGACCCCAGGACCAGGCAAACCACAGCCATCTCAGCATCCGACTGTTCCCGAGGAGCCAATCAATAAATCACAAGCACAAATTTGCAGCAGAAACACCTTTGGAATTGATGACGCTGGGGCAATGCAGCAGACAGCTACATATTTATTGAAGCTTTTTCAATATTTGTGCTTCATATTTCTAAAGATCCTGTTAACTAAAGCCCAGCATGTAATCCTCTTATTTGACAAACCACACTCAATAAGCTATTTAAGTCTGGAAACTCATCAGGTTTGAACTGATGGAATGAGTAATTCCGGCTTAATAAAAATGTCTTTACATCAGAGCACTGCCACGTACTTTCTGCTCCAGTGTCAGAATTTCAACTGCCATCACACAGGAACCACAGATTCCCACCAAACAGCTTCAGAATTCTTAAGGTCAGGACTTTCAGATATGTAAATGAGAGCAAAAGCTCTTGGTGAGAAAATCCAATTTTGCAGCATTATGCAGGAGATCCCACAAACTCAACTCAGACAGCTCATTTCAGGGCTCAAAAGCTGTATCTGTTATGATCAGTCACCTCCTATTAGCAAAGAGACACTTCAGCACAGAAGGAACACCAATTACAGCAGAGATGATTAACCAGCAGCTGAGTGAGAACAATACCATTAGGTCAGCATCCAGACCAATGCCTTGCGCTGTCTCTCCAGAAGTTCCCTGTGAGCTTTCCCCTGAGCCCAGCCATGTCTCACAGCTCAGCACCAGCCACAGCCCTGCAGCCGTTAGGAAAAGGTTTACCAAAGCACAGGACAGCAGGCAAAGGCTTTAGTGGCTAAGAAGTTACAGCCCTGTACACATACCATGTGATTTTGCTGTAGAAGGCAGTATAGCTTGCAAAGGCATTACAAACTATTGCATGAACATTCTGGATTCCCTATTGCAGCAGTTCATAATTACAAAATCAGTTTTTGCAAGGCATTTCTGTCTAAGGCCTGTTTTGTGATTACTGCTTGTAAAGTCCTGATGAAAATAAGAGTTTTTACATTGCCTAAGAGCACATAGCCATTGCACAGCTGCCCAGGACCACAACGCAATGCTGCTTGTTACATAGTGGAGGAGGAAGTGCGTGCCCACACTGACTTTGCACGGGCAGAGCTGGGGCTTGCATTCCAGCAGACTCTGCTGCATTCAGATTTACTGCAGAAGGAAGCTTCTTGCATAAAGCCATAAGAAATCCGAGCTTGACGTGACAGCTGAGTCAGGCTAAGTGAATCAGAAAAGGAAGCAAAGCGAAACTCACCCTGCATTTCCAGCTGGCAGATTTATGGCTTGGCTACCACAGTAATGAATGCAATTGTAAAATACACTGGTGCCTGGCCACAGTGCTCTGAGAACAGAAAAGAGAGGATGGTCCCCATTTTATACCTTCTGACTCTGGCAATGCCAAGGCCCTAAAGGCTGCTTCAGACAGAAGGATTCAGTGCTGCCACGTGCTCTTGGCATGACTTCCAGAACTCGCAATGCTCAGCAGGCTGGCTCCTATGGCACCACTCCTTCAGCAGAAGGCAACAAGGTGGGATCAAACAGCTGAAGTAATTTGCTGTAGGTGGCAGCAGTCTGTCATTCCACAGGGTTTTCTTACTGGTTGTAGTGTGGAAAAAATGAGGTTTGTAAAAGCTATTCAGGGATTTGACAAGAAAGAGTCCTCATTTTTCACACCATAAAAGCTTTCCAAAGCAGACAAATTGCCACAAACTGCATCAGCCCCTAGAAGCTGCAGACCTGGTCCCAGTATGTGGCCCTTTCAGTTCCTCTTCTGGAAGTACTTCCACTTTGGTGTCTCCTCTCAGTTCCAAGGAATTTACTAGCAAGTAAAAACATTAAAGTCAAATCCCGCTTCTCCCAAAAAGTGCACCCAACACCATATTGAGTTGTCCCCTGTAATTCTTTATTAGAATCATGGATGAATATATTTTAAATCAATCTAAAAAAATAATGAATCAAGTTACAGTACATGCATAAAATACAAAGTAATTTACAAACAGATCAAAATAGCATCTTCAGAACTAATATTAGGAGGAGAAAATGGATTTAAGAAAAAAAAAGTGACCAACTACAGCAATGCCTTCCGTGTGCCTTACACATCATGAGCACCGCAAGACAGAAAGGTTGGGTAAGAAATGCAGCTGGTAGTGCCTACCCAAATCCAGATGTTCTAGGTGGGTCATATCAGAGTTTGAGAAATGTCCCCTACAGACAATTACTTCCTCTAATTGTACAGATAAGCGCTGGCATTTATACAAACAGTTCTTTTAAATCCAGTAGAAATTCAGTGCTGATAGCCCCCACATCTCAACATTAATGGCATGGCTGGGGATAGCACGTGCTGTGTGATATGCAGTGGTTTCAGAGTACAACGACAGAAGGCACAGTTCATGTATCCCTGAACTAACTAATTGAACTGATGAGTTGTGCTGAGTGACAACCACTGAATGATTGCATCCAGTAACTACTCCAGATGTTCTTGTTACAGAACATGTACCAAACCACTGGAATCGTTTAAAAATACTGGATGAAATAGAACTGAAGACTAAGACCAGGTTGTAGCAGTTGCTGATCAACTTGAGCATCTGAGTATCTTAGCATGTGTGGCATGTATTGGTATGTGATAGGCAATGTGTGACAACATCCTTCAAGTCTGTGCATCATGTAAGAAAAAAGGCATCCTCAAGCCCTGACAGCACTGGCACTGTGGAGGCTGAGCCTCGGGCAGCACAAAAACACACTGCTTGTTCCAGTGACCCTCAGTGACACACGCTGCTTCTCCTTCTCCCTCCTTCACGAAGGCAGCTCACGTGAGTCCCACCAGCACCTGCAGCAGCCCTGCCTGCACTGCAGCCCCCTGCAGCAGGTGCCAAACCACAAAAGCTCATTCACCAGTAGCAAGAACCCTGCTGCTTGTTTGTGAGAAATTCTCACCCCCCCACCTCCCCCAGAATATTCTATAGCAAGATCTCCTCTTGGCAATCTGAAGATGTAGCCAAAGACATTTAACTTTACATTAAAATTGCACTTCAGAGCAACAGGCATTCTATCAAGCTTTAGATGCAGTATACAACACCTTAAGACAAAGACAGATTATCCTGCCCAGAGATATTCTCTTAGTTAACTCAACAATAACTGTTTTGCAAGGAGCAGAATTGTATCTTCAAGTGCTCACTAAATGTGTCTGTGTTCTGACTAGCGGGCATCACGCTGCAAAGAGATCAGTTCAGCTCCAAACAATTTACTGAACCAAAACTGACAAGTCAGCGTTGGGAAAATACTGCAGCCACAGAGAAGCAATAGATTATAAACACAGAAATCAAGATGTTTAAGACATGGAGAAATTCAGAAGGAATAAGCAATAACTGAACACAAGAAAGTAACCACAAGAATTACAAATATATTTAAATCTTGGACCTGGGGAATATACACAGCCTTTTAGGAAAGAATGAACAATTCTTATATATTCTGACAGCACTGCATCTTTGGTTTGTTTTCAGTGGTTGGAGGGACATGAATGGGAACCACGTTGTTGCTTGGAGACATATCATTCTCACGTCTGTCGGACATTTGCTTCTGGGAAACAATACGATAGATCTCTGGAAGATGAGAAAGAGCCCATCGTTATGTGCATGCAGAGCATCATCAGAAAGCAAACACTGGGGAAGCCAAAAACTGCAGAAAGCAAAGATTTCCCATACTTCTGCAATGATAAGCACAGCAGCTTTCACAAGTTCAATGAGATCTTCTGTATTTATAAATTAAAATATGAACCATCTTCACAAAACACATTTCTTTCACAACTGCTTTACCAAAAGCAATAAAAAAAAAAAATAGTTCCTGACTCTCAGTAAAGATGCAGGATCTACCATGTATGCCATCAATTCCTTCTGATTGTTCTCGTGGCTCTCAGAACAGTGTGTTAGTGCAGATCAGCTTCAGGACTTCAGAGAAGACTGATTACAAACAAAAAACCCAGCAGAAATCAGAGAGCACAGGATAAACTGCTCTGCCTTTCCTACCATCACCAGGTGCACACCTGCACTGAAAGCTCTGCCAGGTTCCTGGGATTTGTGGCCAACAGTACCTGCTGTACACACACTGAGAGCAGGTACAAAGCCACTCCCTTCAGCATGCACACAGAAGTGTGACGTGCAGCACTTCACCCAGGAAAGGAAATAAAGGACACCAAAAATACAACACTGGGAACTCACTTGCAAATTCAAGTTATAAACCACTGAAAATAATGATAAATACCTGCTAAGCCTCATTAACAAAACAATTAAAAGCGTTCCAGCTTCAGCAAAAAGCCTACCCTGAAATGACAACATCACATCTGCTTTACACAACAGAACGGTGTGCTGGCACCAAGCACGCAGCACTGCCCACACCATTTGCATGCTGCAGCACGGCCTGCTGGGGCTCTCCAGATAAGCTCAGGTCACAGGAGAAGAGGGTGTCTGCAGAGCAGAGCAGAACGCTGCTCACAGATAACTTGGGTGAAACACAACAAAGGTTCAAATTCTTTTGTAGGTCTAAAGTCCCTGGAAAATGATGGTCCAAGCACCTCGTCTGACCCCAGAACAAGATGCATCTTTCCCACCAGAGATTCATCGTTACTGAGTAGCCTTTGTTCAGAATTTAATGAGCTGCTGCTCGGTGCACATCCTGACATCATTTCAGTACTGGAAACTGAGTAACCTCGTGTAGAGAAGTCCTATTTGCTGCCAAGGGCTGGTCACACAGCTCTGTGCCTGCTTTTATGATGAGAACTGATGGCACTGAGGAGCTAAAAAGGGTTCCTGATAAACAAGGCCTGCAAATCTTGCCCTTGATGCAACAAGCTTGGGTTGATTTAAGCTGCCAACACAAATGCCTGAGTGCTCTCCAGAAAGAGTGAGAGCAGGGCTGCACACATCCATGTAACTGCTGACCAAGTGGTAATTTCTCACAGATACTGTGCTGTATCTATTGTCTATAGAAGGAAGTTCACCCTTTGCAAGCTGCACTGTAAAAGAATCTATTTCTTGGGCCTTAAAGAGAGGGCTCAAACTCAGATAGGGACAGACTGCTCAGGAAGCTGGACCTCACGTATGCATTCAGTTAGGATCAGGTCACTGATGCAACCAAACAAACTGTAGACACAAAGCAGGATTTTCTGATTTCACCAGTTGTGAAGTTCCCTATTCTTTCCATGACATATGAACAATTTCATAAGTTTGA